ATGTCTCTCAAGTCAGTGTCAGGTATCTATCTAGACTAAGGAGAAGCTCTGGACCTATTACAGCCTTTCCTGGTGCAGAGCACTGCTAATAATGCTGTGCTAAGCTAACACAAAGGCGAGACAGAGAGAAATATGAGGAGGAAGAAAGGAGACAAAGTATTTGGCAGAAGGCAGACACAAACTCCAGAACTGGCTTGGCTGTCCTTCTTCCACAGACAGTGCATTCCAGCTTGGACTGAGCAGGCAGGGTGTCTGAGAGAAGAGCCAGGAATGGCCAGTCAGAGCAGGAAAACACAGAAGAGCAGGTGAGTTGGCAAGTTTATAGAAATAATGATGGGCTGTTATTCTAAAAGACGGCCAAGGTGGTATACATATGGGCTTCATTACATGAAAATTTGATGTGTGTTCACATACGAACTTCTAACAAGGTTGCTTTTTTGCTGTTGTTTTGTTTCCTTTGGGTTAAGAAAGAAATCAGGGGAGGAGATGCTGAGAAGACAGGAGGGTGCAGCAACATGATGGGGGTGTCTGGCTTGCACCCTGGCCTGTGAGCATACTGTGAGGGGGCCACACTTCCACCTGCCCTTGGTGGCGTGGTGCCTGGACAGTGGGCTCAGCGTGCCCTGCTTTGGTTCCAAAGATCTCAGCTGCAACCACCAGCCTTGTGCTCCACAGCATCAACACATAATACAACAAAACCAAACCCTGAGGTGAAAATCAGAAAATTCTCTTCCCTTTTGCTGTTTTTTTTTTTTTAAATCAGAAGAGGGGAGAAAGAAGGAAAGCCTGTCCCTTTGACACAGACTCTGCAGTTATGATTAGAGAAGAAAGACGAGGGATGGAGAATTCCTCCATGTTCTCTTCTGTCAGCTGGCAGTATTCTGATAACATTTCTGCCACCCGTACCTCAAGCACACAGGGATTTCCTCTGTTTTCACTTATAAGAAACTTTAGGATCTTTTTCAATACCAAGTGAGAAACTACTTTTCTCATTCTGTCCTGTTTACCAATGACCTTTCCCTTAGCAAAAATATTCCACAAGTCACTGCCAACAGATGGGAACAGAAGAGCCTTGCTGGGCCCGGGACACAGGGTACGTGCAGGAGCGATGCTTAGAAAACAGCAGGCAGTACCAAGAGGGGAGGAAAGAGTGCTCTCCTTCAGGGCAGCAATCACAAAGCCTCCACGACAAGGGCTGGCACCCACTGAGCGCTGTGCGGGGTATGAGACACAGCCTCGCTCCACAGGACACTGTCAACAAGAAGCTCCTTTCTTTGGAGTCACAGCAGGACAATGATGGGAGAAGATTGGGCCTGTCCAATGAGAGAAACTCTCCTTCAGAGCCCTGCTGAGCAACAAAGCCCAGAGGTCAGAAAATGGAGACATCTAACTTGGTGGGGTGAAGAAAATATAAAAAAAATCAACCCCCAAAAGCATTAAAAAAAGAAGTGACAGCTAGGTAGGAAAACTGATAAAAACCACAGAGCCACTGGTAAAAGAGTCCAATCTGAATGAAGCAGAACAATGAGAAGGCTTCCTTTCTGCTGCAGAAGGTGCCTCTCTCAGGGGTGTCTAGTCAGCAGAATATACGCAGACCCACTTGAACAGAAGTAGAGATGATAGGAGACTGAAGACTTGCACACGGTCAAAGCTTCACAAGGACAATTCCATAGGAAGTTCACATACATGTTCCTTTTGCTGCTCCCTCACATGGCTTCCTGGGGTGAAGGCATGTACCTCATAACTGACGGTTCTTTCACAAGCATAATAATCTGTACGCCCTCTCTGCCTCCACTCAACTCAAATTTCCATGGATGGCTTCTCATTCTGAATAAGTAAAACCAGTTATAGAACATCCTGGAGCTCTAAGACCTGTAGAACTGGGAGGAAAAAAAACGAAAAAAGATACCAAAAAGATAAGCACAGATCAGAAAGGGTTCAGATTTTTGGTGAAAATACTGCGATGCTCTATTTTCAAAAGGGTTAAGGTGAGTAGCAGGGTGTATGTAAACCAAGGAGCTCACAAAGCTGCAAGCAGCCAACCTCACTGAGGCATTTTAGACATTTCAACGACAAACGTGGCCCTGCTCCAGTTCAGCCACAATGGGGAGGTTGGAAAATTGCCAGCCAAACACAGAAAACCAAGTATCAGGGACAAATTCGATGATGAAAAATGAGTACTTTGGTCCTGGTCAATCAAACCAACTTTCTTTAAGTATAAATCTAAGGCTCCCTGCATGTGTAGGAAAGTACTATGTGCATAAGATGAATAAATTCTTACATCGATAAAAATGCAATCACATAAAAAAGTTGTTTTCTTTCCAATCCTCAAACAGGTAACTATTTATCATTTGATTCAACTGAAATCAAGCAACATATGGCTTTTGATATATACAGTAGTCACTTCTCTATGTGAAATCACCCCCATGGCTTCCTCTCAGCTCCACTTTTTCTAAGTATAAGTTAGCCACAAAGAAAGATGACAGCTGGGGTAATTCTTCCATTGTATATCTATAAAAAATAATTGCAAAATGGCTGAACAAAATTTTACATTATAATTGCTGGATTGTAATTTTTTCCTAATTGCCCCCCATTTATCTTACTGCTTTCATTCTAAGATTTTTTTAGTGCTCTCCCTTGACACCCATCCCTACCTCCTTGTATCAATGTTCTAGAAACCCAATTGCGTTTAGATACATGTGTTCTAGTTCTAGAATCTGCACTTGCCTACTTAGGCATTTTTAGGCAAGACATCTCACCTCTCTGGGACTCAGTTTCTTCGTATGTACAATAATGGGATTTCTAAAGGCCCCTTCCAGCTCTAATATGCTCCTCTAAAACCATACACCATTCGCTTCCTTTCACTCACTGGCTCCTGACAAAGGAAGAAAACTTTGCCAAGCCCATGTCAGAGTAATTAATTGCACCATGAATGCTGGGGACATCAGGCCTAGTTGTCTGTACATATTTGTATAATGAGGCCAAACTAGAATTAATCACATTCTCTATAACTGTTTCATTTGACGGTTTCAGAGCGTGTGGAGAACTAACTATTCTCAGTTATGTTTACATGGCTAGATTCTAAGAATCTGTAGTAACAAAACCATTCAGATTTTCAGCTACTCTTTCTTTTTTTTTTTTTATCTTTTTTTTTTTGGTCTTGTTTATCTCACAAGACCTACAAAAATTATGGGAGAAGTGCCTTATAGCCCTCCGCAAGGGCGGGGGGTGGGGGAGAATGACCCTAACTCTACTCTTTCTTTTAAGGGAAAATATTTGTAGGTTAAAATCAAGGATAATGGTAATGTTCTAGGTTTTCAAAGACACCTCAGAAAGCAGATATGACAGTTTATATCCTTAAGATGGGTAAAGCTTTAGGAAAGTCTTATTGGCCAAATGCTCAAAATGGAAAACCATTTTTGGCTTAAAACTCACAACAACTGCCCTATACCTATGTGAGGAGACACCATGTTATCAGTTAATGTGTTCTTCCACAGTCCTCCACACTGTTTCTCCCACCTCTTTCTTTTCAAGCCTACCAGAGTGCTAATTGAAAACCCTGTGTGAAAATGAGAAGGGTGATGAGCTCCTGAAAATCCCAGGCCTAGATTTACAAGCAGTTCCCTTCATAAACAGCAGCAGTAATGCCATTTCTTTATTCTGTAGGGAGTCCAGTCATCTCTCAGAAGTATGGTCTGTTCCATCTGGCTATGCACTAGAAGGACAGTAATCCTTTCCCCATCAGAGTACGACTGGGCGAAAGTATGATGAATTGCCCTGTACAGTTACTATTGGAGCCCGTGGCCAAGAAGGATAGAGACAACTGCTTTCGTCTCTGTGGGCAGACACGACCTCGTTAGATAAAGAATTATAGGTTTTATTTATTCTTGCACATGTTGCTCAAGGTCCAGACCATGTTAGAACATGTATATGAGTATGTATACATGTTAGAACATGTATATGAACATGTATATGAGTATGCTCATTTACCTGCAAGACAAATAAATAAAGATATAAATCCATGACCAGCCTTGCTAAGGAGTGTATCCTGCCATCCACTCTTGTTTTAGCATCCATATATGGCCATTCACTGTATGGTCCAACCCTAAGATTTCCACATAGTTTGTATGTCTGCAGGGATGGAACAATTTAACTGACAGACCACAGGGCTGTCAATTGTGGAATGACAAACTAAAGGGTACTCTATCTCTAGGAATCTGAGTGAAAAAATAACCAGTTCCATTTAAGAAATGATACTGATGACTGACCATGAGTACCAAAAAGTTTATAAAGGCAGGACCCCTTTGGAAATGTATTTTTTCTCTTCTAAAATGATGTAAAACATATTACAAGTCATTTGTTGAATGTATTTTTTAAAAGTTTATTTTCTTGTTTCTCTCCTTTCACTTATTGAGAGATTATATATTTTTTAATATATTCAGTCAAGGCATTAACTGTTTCATTGTAAGTTTAGTCCACATTAACATTTAACACACAACTGTTACTCTGATATTGAGTGGTAAATGAAAAACTTACTTACATAGGCTTGTACACATACAATGTCTCACTGACTATCGTGAATCATCGTTAAATTTACAGGGAAAAGGAAGCTTAACAATTAAGTGATACTTATTTTGTCCAATGTGTTGTTTGCGGGGTTATTTCCTTTAAATTTCTCACTCAACCTTCAAAACCCTTTGGGAAACGAATACCTAAGAATACAACTTAATAAGTAACAAAGCTAGAATTGAGATCCAACCACAAAAATCATGCTCTTTCCATTAAGCCACATGGAGGCATGCATGAGGAAAAATTATCTTGATTCAGTTTTCCAACACTATTTACTACATTTAGCAACCAAGCAACAGGAATCTTAAGCCTCCAACTCACTTATTCAATGTCATTCCAGGATTTTAGTAGTATTAATAAGGTCTAATGCCATCTTAGTTTTGATGATGTGCTGGCATGTACGAATCAAGTCAGTGAGCACTCACCATTCCCTAACGATCAAGCCTGTTCACAACTTCTCGAACTGTAGCTATGAAGTTTTCATTGTCTTGGGGATTAGCTAAAATAATACTGTGCAGTCTGTTCATATAGGAGTCGATAGTGTCCACTGTAGGTGTCTCTCCACTTCCTAAAGTGAGATAAGAGAAAGTAAGAAAAGTTTCCCCATTCAGTTCAACAGTAACACAGATCAGTGATTCCACAGCAAAAGAAACTTGACTCTAATGGGGTCTGCTCCACAGAGAAGATTTTAATTTCAGAGGACAGACTTTTAGACCTCAAAGAAATGAAATTAATCCACATACTCTCAAAACAGATGGACTCCTATTGCTGCACAGCACATAGAGGAGTAGTTGCATAGAACAGGTTAAGGACTCTCTTAGATCTGCTGTGACGATTTTCAACATGAAAACATATGTAAGAAATATTAATATTTCTTTTCCTTCCCATTAAGAGAATATCACAAAGCCAGCACACTTATATGCTCTGGAAAAGTGCTCTGGGGGAACAGGTGACATGGGAGAGGGGATCAAGAAATAAAAATGTCTTGTTATGAAATAAATTAAGTCATGGGGGTGGAGTGTGCAGTATGGTGACTGTGGTCAACAGTATTGTACTATGTATTTGAAAGCTGCCAAAAAAGTGTATCTTAAAAGTTCTCATCACAAGAAGAAAAATTTGTTTGCAACTTTGTATGGTGGTACAGGCTTCCCAGGTAGCACTAGCAGCAAAGAACCCACCTACTGATGCAGGAGAGGTAAGAGTTCAATCCCTGGGTTGTGAAGATCCCCTGGAGGAGAGCATGGCAACCCACTCCAGTATTCTTGTCTGGGAAATCCCATGGACAGAGGAGCTTGGAGGGCCACAGCCCACAGGGTTGCAAAGAGTAGGACACGCCTGAAGTGACTTGGTGTGCATGCACACATGGGGGCACATGGTAACTAGACTTGGGTGATCATTTCACAGCATATACAGATATAGAATCATTATGATGTGCACTGGAAATTAACACAATGTTATACATCAATTATAGCACAATTTAAAAAAAGAAAAGTGCTCCACTGAGGATTTATTACACAGTTTCCACTATTCTGAAAATCAAATTAAGCTTAGTAGAAAGTAGATTATGTTAAAATATAATTGAAGAAAAATTTAACTGAGCAGAGAGTCTGAAATTTTGGATAATTTTAACCAATGGGCTGTGCTGTGCTTAATGGCTCAGTCGTGTCTGACTCTTTGTGACTGGACGGACTAGAGCCCACCAGGCTCCTCTGTCTGTGGGGATTCTCCAGGCAAGAGTACGGAGTGGATTGCCATGCCCTCCTCCAGATTTTAACCAATACTGAGATTCTATTACATTACTTACAGAAAACTCTGAGGAAACGACCTCGGAGTTTATTGGTCTTCCCCTTGAAGGGAGACTTCAGCCTCACCACACCAACGCCAACATATGCAGCACCTCCCCAGCCCCCACCGCTTTACACGACTCAGGTGGGGATGATGTTACCAGGCAAGGGCATGCTGGCGAAGCTGCTGGTCAGCACCTGCCGCAGGGTCTCCAAGTGCTGCTGTAAGACGGTGTTGCGGCTGCGCTCCTGGATCACGTCCACCTCCAGCTTCTCTACCGCTGTGCGCATGCTCTCCACGTGCTTTTGCAGGGCCGCGTTCCTCTCCTCAAATTCCATGTTGGATTTGCGAAGCTGACGGAGCTCTGCCTCCCGAGCTGAGGACGCAAGCCCCCAAAACACAGGTAACACAGTGTCTCTGAGGAGTCCCAGTGACTCTTCTAGAAGTTCTGCTTAGCTGTCTCTAATTAGCTACCCCTCCTCCTGTCCCTAGTCTCATTATGGCCTTTCTGATAGCAATTTCAGCAATAAAATGCCTGGCTCTCCAGAGTTATTTTAATTCTTAAAGCTGGTCATATTCTATACTTAAGACTGCAAGGAACAGCTGCACTTCCCAGTGTTTGTTTGTTTGGTTTGTTTAAAACTGTGCTATGAGAAGCCTGAGGGGTTTCACAGGGGGATCCTGGGAGCTTGGGCAAGCACAGCTGTGGGTCCAAAGCTTTATTGCAGTGGGGTCAGCTTTGCTCTTATTTATTTTATATTTTGGATATCCATGCAAGCTTTCATTTGTACAAAGGGTTCTTGGCTAATAGCCTGAAAGCAACTGAATTAGTGATGTATATTTATTTCCTCTGATTCAGAGACTAAAGCTGCTTTGACAACACTGGCTGAGCTTTCCTCACTGGTCTCTGAGTAGCTATTTTTAATAGAGAGTGAAATAGAAGCAACTTTCTTCTTCCAGACCAGTCCCAGGGTCGGGAGTATCACTACCATTGCTTTTGAGCAATTAATTTCTCCTGACAACTAAATCCCCTGTCACAGATGTGAGGGACACAATACGATCCATTGGTAATCACCTTTGCTGTGGTTCAGGAATTCCTCTGTAAATATAGGGATGTCAAAAACAGACCGTTCCTTTACTTCTGCTTCTTTCTGTGAATCAAGAGTAACAAAACAGTTAATTCTTAAACTAAATTAAATAGTAGTGCCTAAAGGCACAATGGTCATGTTTTCCTTAAAGAAATAGTAAGATAAGCAGCAGTCAGTCAGTCTAGGTGAGACTTAGAAGAAAATGTATTCACCTTTCCTTTGGAACCAAACTTTCACAGAGCTCAAGCATGTTAAGTATTCAAATCTCTCAGATGACAACTGCTGTGCAATGAAACCTTAAAACAAACCTACATAAATTTCCCTAATAGAGATGTTGGAAACCATTTCTTAGCTCTGTGTTCTGAATAGTCAACAGTGTACAAGGGAGAAAGTGACTGAGGTAGGTATCATTCAGTTCAGTTTAGTCGCTCAGTCATGTCTGACTCTGAAACCCCATGGACTGTGGCATGCTAGGCCTCCCTGTCTATCACCAGCTCCCGGAGCTTGCTCAAACTCATGTCCATTAAGTTGGTGATGCCATCCAACCATCTCATCCCCTGTCGTCCCCTTCTCCTCCCACCTTCAATCTTTCCCAGCATCAGGGACTTTTCAAATAAGTCAGTTCTTCACATCAGGTGGCCAAAGTATTGGAGCTTCAGCATTATTCCTTCAAATGAATATTCAGGACTGACTTCCTTTAGGATGGACTGGTTGGATCTCCTTGCTGTTCAAAGGACTGTCAAGAGTCTTCTCCAGTATCACAATTCTAGGTTGGTCATAACTTTTCATCTAAGAGGTAGGTATAGAAAAAGAATTTCTGGGTGATTTTTCTGTTGCTTCTCTTGGTTATGCATATAAAGTGCTCTCTGAGATAGGATGATGCAATCTAACTTTGCAGAGTGGACAGTAAGAATTTTAAGCAGAGATTTGCCAGCCACGAGCAATAATAATGGTATTCCATTAGGACGTCTACTTTTACTTCTCCTTATTTACAAGGGCAGCCTATAACGGGATCTTTCAGACTTTCCTCGGACCCAGGAAAAACAAACAAAACCAAAAAGTCAGTAATAACTAGGCTCTAAATATGAGAATGCCAAGGATTATGTGAGAGAAAAAATAATAAACCTAAAATTAATTCACCAATAAGCCATTAAAAATAAAAGTCTCACAAAACCACTGCAAAACATATTCCACAATGATCCTTGTGAATAAAGTCAATATTTCAAAATGCTTTAGCAGCAATTTCTACAATGAATTTAAAGTTGAAAACATTAAGAACATAAACTGTAAGTGTCTTGGCAGTGTTTAAAATCTTGCATAATATAAGATGGTAAAGAAAACAGTGGGAAATGAGTACTGAAGAAATTGCTAGTGAAATCTGAGGATTTCAAAACCTTTATAACATAAAGAACAGTTTAAAAAGTCTAGAAATCATTCCTATAAAAACACATTTAGTGCCAGAGATAGAATGTATATTTCCTACTCTTGCCACCACTAGTCTTTTATCTTTGAACACAAATATGATTTGGTGCCCAGCAGAAAGGCTAAGCAGTTAACAGCCTGTGAGGGAACTCTGATAGCCAGGCTCCTGTTTTCGTATCGGTGCCTGCCTTGTTATGGAGGGTTGGGCTATGTGAACCGCCGGCCAAGGGCAGCTCATTAAGAGAGACATCTAGTAGGCTGGAAGTCTGAAAAACTATGTATTTACGGGAAGAAACTTTCAGAGCACTTAATTTTTGCCCTTCTACTTCTTAAAGAAAGAAAGTGAAGTTTTCCAGAATGATTTAAAAACAAACAACAGAATTATCACTGAAGGCCCCAGTTTCAACAGGCAAAGCTCTGCCTCTAGCCAGTTCTCGGTGGATCTCAAAGAGAATTAATGTATGGGTAAGAAAGACTGGTTCCAGAAGAGATCTTAGATATATTTCACAGTGGCTTTCTCTCAACTCTGCTGGCTTACCATATGCTTTAACTCTGTTACTGTATAAGACATAACAGATATAAATCCACAAATGACTTTAGATAAAGGCTTATAATTTTATCATCCCATCTTGTTCAGTCTCTTACTTAACTGTACTGGCTTGCTGCTGCTAAGTCGTTTCAGTCGTGTGAGATCAATTTACTTAGCTATAGGTCTGAATATCTGCCAGTCAGATGGGTTGGTGGGGATGCCTGGCTCCCATTACCATGGTACCAAGAGCCCTCTCCAAGGCTTAGATTCTGCTCAGACAGGTAATTCTGTTTTCTTCCTTGCCAGAGCAGTCCAGACCAAGCTAACTACATAAGGGCAGAGGATAGTACCACATAAGTGCATTAACACACTGCCTCTTGGTACAGATTCTTAAGAGTACAAAATAAGAAACACCACAGCAATTAAATGAAACTGTTCAGTCTCTGAAAGGCCAAGTGAGAAATTCTACTTAACTGAAGAGTTGTCATAAAAACCATCAGCACTCTTCCATTACTGAGTACATTACTCGGCATTGGAGAGGATCCTCTTGGGGGCTCAGATATACTTAAGCTGCTCCAAGGATCACTCAAGGGATTAAAATCATAAGGATTTCATTACCTCATCATTGAAAGGGTCTAATTTGTTCAGGTTGAGTGTCATTTTGTCATTTTTCATAAATTAAAGGAGAAACAAAATTATTGTTTCTATCTTAGTCCTCACATGAGATTTAGACACTTTCTTGAGAGTAACACTAGCTGACTCCTGGGTCTAGCAGGCTGGCTTGTGATTTGAGAGGAGCAAGAATACTCTTCACTTTGGTTTTCATTCTGTATATTGAGTGGAAGGTAAGAGAACAGAGGCCTTTTGAACTGAAACTATTTTGCTGTGATCTAGGCTCAGGGCCAGAATCTCATGGAGTGATATGCTTCTCTCAAGTGCCCTTTACTTTAAGGAATGCTCTCAATATTGTGTACCAGGCTGAAGTGCCCCACCGCTATGCAGAATGGCCTGAATGGCTTTCAGGTCAGCATTTCCTGAGGTCTAACAGGGCTCCCCAGTATCTACCTTGGTAACAATGTCTTAGGAATCTAAGTTCCATTAAGGAATACAATAGTTTCTTTACTACATATATACAAATCAAATCATTTCTGTCTCAAGTGGCAACAAATTTTGCTGACACCACAGGCATCCAGGATCATTTTTACTTGCAACACTGTTTATTCCATATAGTGTGGCGGGCACTGCCAAGAGACCTTAATAAGCCTGGGCTACAGACGCCAGGGTTTCAGTCACAATTCTGCCTCTAACCAATTCAGTAAGTGATTCTGGGACATTCTCTCCTATCTTAGGCAAGTCATTTTCCTCACTGGCAAAATGAGGGGGTCAGGTGAGAGGGTTTCTGAGGTCTTAGTAATTTTGATGTGAGCTCGAAAACTGTTTTATGGCATTTGCCATTTTATCCCTAATAGGATAAGAAAAAGGAAATAAGCATGTATTTAGAAATGTGATGTTTCAGGCACATTGCAAGATACTTGCTCTTTTATTAACTTCCTCATAACTCAGTTCAGGCCACTTTATCCAAAGATATATATGTATATATATGTAATGCCCCGACAAAACCTAAGTCATCTTCAAGGTCTGATTCAGTTGCTCCTTTCCATGGGGCTTCTGTGGCTTTTTTTGTTTTTTCCCACTCATAGTGCTTTCTTATTTTTCTTAACTCTTATTATACTAAGAGGTTATGTGTGGCTATGTTAAAAAACTGTCAAACCAATTTTTCAAATTGCAACTGTTTTGAAATTAACTGGTTTAGTAGGATGTTATTCAATGAAAAAAAAAAAAACAAAACTGATAAAGTGAGTGACATTAACTGAGTCAACAACCTTACTAAGAGAGCTTTATCCTGACCTGGGCATACACCAGACAGGTTTATAAAGCCTAGTGTATACATATTTGAGAAACTACTGCTGGCTTTCCACCTACTCCCTCCTTTTCTTTGGTTTTACATGTGTCTAATCCTGAAACAGGAATATCACAAAGAGACTTATTCCTTTTCATATACTGCAGAAAGTCCTATCATACTAAAATAACATTTTATTAAAATGCTTAATTTCTCAAATCAGCAGCAGCAGCTTCTGTGACTAAGTCTTCTAAATCTTTTCTTATTACAACTATTAACTTTATTAGAGGCAAAAAATTCCACATGTGGTTTGGCCAGCAAAATCCATATTGATGAAAGGAGTCAGTCAGTCATTGACTAGAAAATGTGAGATCTAAGATTTTACTGTCCATACTCTCTTTTGTAACTATTAAGGATACAGAAGCTATAAAGGATGCTTAATAGGGAAAAAAAGAAATTTAGAAAATTTATGATATTGGTGGGCAATGAGTAATTATACAAGTATCTGGCAGTATAGAAAACTTATAACACAATTCAATTATGATTTAAAACATATAGTGTACATGGTTTCTCAAGCAAAAAAAATTTCATCCTAATTGGAACAGAGATGTCATATATAACTACATTTATATAGGATTTATATGAAAAATAAAATGTTCATATTTGCCATGCCTCTCACTTTTATAATTCATGGGTGGTGATAAATCTACTTGAATTGTGAATCTAAAAGTTTTCTCTACATTTTGAAGGTAACCAATACCAAATTAGGTATGAGAACTACAACTCCATGATAAATAAGTTATTATTTTGAAGAAGTGATTTCCTTGATTTAGTGAAAAACCCAGTGCATGCAAAAGAGTGCATCAGAAAATTCTTTTTGTGTAAGTTTCCACTGTTATTTCAACAAATGGGTTTTGTATAAAAACAAATGAGTTATTTGTGGAAGAACTCCTCCATACAAGAGCATAATGCTAGATGGTATGTGGATGGGTACAGAATGGAAACTAGACCACACATGCCTTCAAAGAGATTATAATCCAAAAGTGTTAATGACAGAAGCACTTGAGTAACTCTGGCATCTTAGCCAGACCAGCTAAGTGCATTAAAGACATATAGAGAGCCGGGAGGTTTAAGGGAAGTTGGAGGAAACAGGAAAAGCTTGAAGGAGAAAATGGAACTTGAAATAGGGTTTGATGGATGACTAGAATTTGGAGGCAAAATTGGATGATACAAGAGGGTGATAAAAAAAAAGAGTGAGGGAAAGAAAGTATGCTCATGAAAGGAAGAATATGAGCACAGGCATGAGGCAGGAAAGGATGGGGCACTTAGAGGACAGTTAGTATTTTTTAAGTACATAGGATATACATGGACAGTTTGGGAGTTTGGAATGGACATGTACATACTGCTATATTTAAAACAGATAACCAACAAGGAACTACTATATGGCACATGGAACTCTGCTCAGTGGGTGGCAGCCTGGAGGGGAGGGGCGTTTGGGGGAGAATGGACACTTGTGTATGTAGGGCTGAGTCTCCTTTGCTGTTCACCTGAAACCATCACAACATTGTTATTCAGCTATGCCCCAATACAAAATAAAAAGCTTAACAAAAGAGACATAGAGGAGTTAGGTTATTTGGAAAGGGAAATTGGCACTTAATTACAGAAAACCCTGGTTGCTGAGTTTGAATGTGATTTGGTAAGCAATGAGGAGTCACTGAACATTTTCATGCATGAAAATACCACACATTTTATTTTTGTACAATCATATATTAACCATAGGCTAAATATATATTTAAAGCTCTCTATGCAACACAGCCAACACACATAGGCATCAGTTCTATACAGGAACACAGATCAAAATCCTATTGCTGAAACTGAACCAAACTGGCAGGGCGGGGGGGGAGGGGGGGGGCGGCGGTGCGGCGGAGGGAAGACCAGTAAACAAATATGTGCCAGGGAAGAAAGGAGGCATAGAAATCAAGATATTGTCACTTGTGCTCTGCAGATGCTGTAAGCTGAATAGTGCATTTTAACTAAATGCTGGATTTCCTAAATAACAACTTTCTGAGAGTTAGAATATAGTATCTGGTGATGATAAACTATGGTCAAGTTATAGCTTTTAGTTGGTCCCCATTTCTATACATCACTCCAGATTCCAGCCATCTTCAGCATTTAAAGCCAGTAAAATTCTTGGACCACAAGAAAGGACTAGAGTTAGGGGCTTTAGTTCAAGAACAGACTCATGACATAAGTGTCTGCCATATGCTAGGAATCCTTAAGCTAAAGGCAACTAACTCAATCCTAATTACAGGACAGAAAATGCTCTGCCATTCATTAAAAAACAGTCCAATAGCATTTCAAACAGCATCATGATTATATACATATATCACATGTACACACATACACACAATGGAGACAGAAAGTTAATTACCTCATGATCATGAGTGGCCTGTCGGGCTGCATCTAAAAATATGAAAGAACAAGAATATTACGCTGAAAAACAAAACAAAATAAAAAAAATACTTAAGGAAATGACCGTGCCAAAATACAGAAACTGCTGGTATATGTGGGTTCTCAAAACATCATATTTTCTCTAATAGCTTTATTAATCAGTCAACAAGAGTTAAAGGGAACCCCGTCTTATAGGTTATGCAATTCAACGGAAGAGAAACAGCAGACACAGTCCTCACCTTTAAGGAGAACAGGGTGGGAGAGTGGACAGGAAACACATGCCAAAGGCTGTTTGCACAACATTACAGTTTAGCAGGCAAGATGCCCAAATGTGGAGAAGACGCAATAGCTAAGGAATGACAGGCTGTTATGAGTGGGGCTTCTTTCTTTGGCAGTGTTCCCTGAAAAAGGGGAACTTTAGCAATACTTTAACAGTGTGATGAACAATTTTACAGAAAACAAAAGATCCATGAAGACCAGGATCTTCTGTATCTTGTTTACCTTTGCATCCTTAATGCCTAGGTGAGATCCTGATATGTAATAGGAGGTGTTCAACACATTTTTTAAATACATGCAAATAAGAATGAGTGAATTAAAAAGATTTATCACTGGAAGCTGGGAGAAATGAACACATGAAAGGTTTAGAGGTGTTAGTGAAAGTGTTAGTTGCTCAGTCGTGTCCGACTCTGCAACCCCATGGACTGTAGCCTGCCAGGCTCCTCTGTCCATGGGATTCTCTAGGCAAGAATACTGGAGTGGGTTGCCATTCCCTTCTCCAGGGGACTTTCCCAACCCAGGGATCAAATCTGAGTCTTCTGCATTGCAGAGAAATGCCTACAGTGGAAATAGAAGCAGCAGCACAGGCAACTAAAAGGGGTCTTGGAGTACAAGTCAAACTGTTGATCCTGGATATGGAAACCCAATTGAAATTTCTAAATAAGAGTAGTGTGATTTTAATAAATGTTGAAGATGATGCTTTAAGTGCATCTAGTATAATAGAGAAATGATAGAAACATATCTTTTATCTTTATTGCTCTAATAGTAGGCTTTATGACACTCCATCATGCAAAACAAACTACAAATATATTTGATTCTGGTCTGATACCTTGTCTATGAGATTTGCCTTTCTGACGATCCTGGGTTTTCCTGCTGAAAACCTTGTAGGCCTCAGTCTTCTGATACTGCTCCAGTTCCTTCATGTAACGCTCCTTATCTCTGTCTGCCTCATCAAGGTAGCGCTAGGAAAGAAATGTGGAATTATTTTCAAGAAATAGATCTTACTGAGGTACAATACCAAAGAACTCTTTGAAGAAAACAAAAGATAATTAGAACATGGAAAGAAGAGTAAAAGTGGAATAAACTTTTGAGCATTACAAAAAAAAAAAAAATCATGTGAAAAAAGTCTGTCTCAATTATAAAAGAGAAAGGCAATTTTGACTTTTTAGACTATTGCCTTTTTTAACTTACTGAAGACAAGTTCTATTGAGGTCATTCACATAAAAAATTCACAAGAAGATTATGGTTCTTCCTCTAATCCTATAGATAGAAGTATACATGGCCACTAGAATCCTCAACACACCACATAGGCACACTTAAATCTTCCCAGGGGAGAGGATGGAATATTACTCTGTTTCTTTATCTCCAACCCATTCTGAGGGGATGATCTCATACATCAATTCGCCTTTTAAGAGCCAGGAGAGAGGAGACACAAAGAACATAAAAAAGAATGACCTCATCCTATGGACCTAAAATGGACTACTATGAGAGAGCCTGTATCTATATGCCTTGTGCTATTAATTATTTAAACAAAGTTCATTGATCTACTAGGATAATTTTGTTTAATGCCTTGTACTTTTCATTCATCAATTAGGTTTAAGAAATAGAGTAGAAAAATACTGCTTCTAAATGAACACAAACTAGAGTCAGAAATTATGTTAATAGCCTTGTCCCACACAAAAGCCAGATATAGAGGACACCCTGGCCAAATCTGGGGCAATTTAAGTATCAAATTTACTTAGTAATAATTTATAAACCATTGGGAAAAAGAGAGATTCATATGCCTATACCAATAATAAATAAATAAACAAATACATAAATGGAGAGAGGAAGAGGGCTCTTGCTTAGAATGCCAAGGGTCAACCAGCACATGTGAAGTGAGTGCCAGAGTTGGAAAATCATCCTTTTGCAATCATCATGGTAAAGATTAGATCAAGGAGAAGTTATTAATGACTGCTAAATCTAGGGAAAATTCTGAAATGGAACAGACTATTTGCATGTTCTTAAAATGTCTCTGCACAGACTGCTTCTTAATTATAAGAGAAAGTGAAAAACTTTACTGAGTGAGCAAAATTAACATTACCAACAAGAAATAAATGACATTGTGTGCCTGCATATGCGATACTGTGAGAAGGACCAACACCATCTATGCAGTTTTCTGACCAAGAATGCATGACCTCAATCTAATCATGAGGAAACATCAGACAAATATAAAATGAGGAATGTTCCGTTAAGAGTAAACAAAAGGAGGGGGAGGAAGAGAGAGAGATGGTATTCTTTTCAATGTCATAAGAGACAAAGAAAGGTTGTGGAAATATCCTGGATTAAAGGAATCTAGAGATTTGACTGCTAAACACAGAACCTGAACCCTGGACTGGAATCTGAACTGGAGGGGGAAATGTTACAGAGGAATGATGTTAGGTCAACTGACAGAACTGGAATATAGATGGTAAGTTAGATAGAAGTATTGTGTTCATATAAAATTATGAGGTTGCTAACTGTGGTTAAGTGAGAGAATGTGTCTAAGGAAATTCACACTGAAATATTTAAGGGTAAGGGGCCATGATATATGTAACTTAGATGAAAAAATTAAAAAAAAAATTGTGTGTGTTTGTGTGAGTGAGTGTGAGAGACAGAGAGAAAGAAAGAGTACATGCCCAATCTTGCCCAGGAGAGTATTTTCAAATAAATATTTTCAATATTTGCAAATAAAAATTTGAGAACAAATACTTGCCCTAACTAGTTATCACTCCATTATCTGAAAAATTTTAAACAATGAGCATGTATTAATTTTGAAATAAAAAAATTTTAAAAAGAGAAAAGAGTAATTACTATGTACAGCTCATGATCTCTGTCTAGCCCTTTATACATTAGAGCTGAAACAATGGATGATATACACTGCTTTCTATTAGCTTGCTACCACAAACACAGAGCTTCAAGTTGCAACTCAGTCTGATCTCTGAAATCTTTTTGAATTCAGTTAATTCCCAAGAGTGTTTTTCATTTGGTTTAATTTGTTTGTAATCCTTTTTAAGGCGTGTAGGACATAAAAAGAATTACAGATATACTTCAGATGCTGAGAATGCTGGGAACTTTTAACCCCAAACCACTTCAACATCATTACCATCACATTACTTTTGTGGCATTTCAGTCAGTTTGTGGCTATCTTGTCCTTGCTGCTAAGTTGCTTCAGTCGTGTCCGACTCTGTGCAACCCCACAGACGGCAGTCCACCAGGCTCCCCCATCCCTGGGATTCTCCAGGCAAGAACACTGGAGTGGGTTGCCATTTCCTTCTCCATTGCATGAAGATGAAGTGAAAGTGAAGTCGCTCAGTCGTGTCCGACTCTTAGCGACCCCATGGACTGCAGCCTACCAGGCTCCTCAGTCCATGAGATTTTCCAGGCAAGAGTACTGGAGTGGGGTGCCATTGCCTTCTCCCTTCCTCTCAAATCTCTCTAACGGATTTGTTTCAGTTTGGCAATAGGGTTAATTTCTGTCTTGGAGGGAAGAGAATTCAAATAGTTCTTGCTTTATTTTCCATGGTAGGTTCAATTTACCAGGACTCCACTTATTAAAGCAGTTAAATCTTTTTCTTAAAATTCTTATGTGAACAGCAGAATTTTATCAAAATTCTCATTTAACTCATTACTTTTCATTTAATTCAGCAGGATAAATCATATTGATAGATTTCTTAATATTAAACTACTTTTTACAGAAGTCTTATATGAACTCAGTGTATAAAGCAGATAAAAGTGGAGCTGCTTTGGTTGAGGTTGCTCACATGCCTGCAGCAAACCCTGGAAGAGCATAAAAACTACTGTGCTAAATAAAAGGACTAGGAAGGACCTGCTCTTCTGGTCTCCTAGGTATCATGACAAAAATTAAGAATCAAGAGTCTATTCTCTTTGCTTTTCTGACAAAAATTATTTTTGAGACAGAATCAAAATCAAGCAAAGGATCAGGAATAGGAACAATTACCTGTTTTTCCTCCGGAGGAAGTTTACTCCATTCATTGCCTAACATCCTTGTAATTTCTGGAAATGGGACTTCTGGTCTCTTTGCTCGAAGCTGCTCTCGACGCTCGTTCATGAACCGAACATATCCTGTAAGAGGGGATTTGGGTGCATTGCTGTCTCTAAGAGGTTTCTTTCTCTTTCTTCCTTTGGACCAACCTCCTCGTTTACTTCTTTGCTGCAAAACAAGTCAAAATTAAAAAACCCCAAATCAAATTACAACAAAAATTTTCCCAGTAACACAACAATGAACACTGACAAACAAAACAGGATTAAGAAGTGCATTTTCTCACCATTAAGGCCCTGCATAGTCAAAGCTCTCCAAATCTGTTATAGGAACAAAAGACTGCAATGCAGCCTGCAGGAAGGGACTCCAGATGGTTCACCTGCAGACCTTTTTATGTACCACGCTACACACTGTTTCACTAAGGGGCCATTTTAGCGCTAATCCCAACAGATAAGAATAAGGAGTACTGGGGTTTTCCTGGTGACCCAGTAGTTAAGAATTCGCCTTGCAACGCAGGGGACACCAGTTTGATCTCTGGTCTGGGAAGATCAGCCCATGTGCCACAGCTACTGAGCCTGTGTTCTGGAACTTATGAGCTGCAACTACTGAGACCATGTGCTGCAACTACTGAAGCCTGTGTACCCCGAGCCTGTGCTTGCAACAAGAGAAGCCCCTGCAATGAAAAGCCCATGAGCTGCAACTAGAGAGTAGCCCCTGCTCTCTGCCAACTAGAGAAAAGCCTGAGCATAGCAGTGAAGACCCAGTACAGCCAAAAAAAAAAAAAAGTGAACATTAAAAAAACAAAACAAAGCAAAAGGGTAAGGTACCCCTACCACAATCACATAAATAAGCTCTGGCCTTCATATGCACTTAACAAAGCCTGACTCCTGCCAGGGGAATATTCTAGATGAGAAAGGCAGCACACACACAGCACTGTGCCAGGGCAGCCGACATTGCTACAGTAGGTCAGAACAAGATGCTGTCACATGCACTTTTGACAACAAAAGAAGAGACAAGCTGTAACACTGGGATTAAAATCATTATTAGGGTCTTTCTCACTGATATCATTCAAAGATCAGTTTATTTCCCACAGCAGGTAGCACTATAGAATTTAAAATTAATATATAAGACTTAGAAAAGTTTAGCAACTATAATATATCCAGAATGAAGACTAGTTCTTTGGCTTGATTTATTTCTTAAGATGTTTATTTTATAAATCAGAGGTTTTATATGTTATTAAAAGATGAAATCACTGCTCCCCAGCCCCCACCCCCCACCCCCGCAAAGTTTAAAGGACTGAAGTACCACTAATGTTTACCACAGCTTTTTTCTTTGTCCTTTTAAACAAGATACAAGGTACTTTTGCTTCATAATTTTACAAATACATATAGCCTATCAGTTAATAAAGGTTTATGGATATAAGCATTTTTATTTCAGAGGAGAGAAAGATAATCAAAATGAGATGAAAATATCTAAATATCAATTACCATACCGTACTCCTTCAAATATATATACAATGGTATGATAATTTAGCACTGGGCAAATGATATATTTGGTAACAGTTTTTGTTGTTGTTGTTTTTGTTTTGTAACCCTAGTAACATTTAACATTAAAGCTACTAAGGATTTAAGATGTTTAAGAAGTTTTAAGCATTCATCATGAGGCTTTTCAGGTGGTGCAGTGGTAAAGAATCTGCCTGCCAACCTGTAGGAGATACAAGAGACCCAGGTTCAATCCATGGGTCAGGAAAATTCCCTGGGGTAGGAAATGGCGACCCACTCCAGTATTCTTGCTTGAAAAATCCCATGGACAGACGAGTCTGGGGCGCTGCAGTCCATGGGGCTCAAAGAGTTGGACATGACTAAGTGACTGAGTATACAACACACACAAGCATTCATCATAATCTTTAAGAATGCCAATGTAGAAAGAATCAGCTTTTTCAAAATGAGAATAAAGAAAAAAATCAATGGTGGTACTCTTCTATGGCTTAAAAAAAAAGTACCTTAAAACACAGACAATGTAATCAGTCATTTGTGAGAAACACTAGGAGTCCAACAAGGGCATGACTGCCCTTGTGTGAATTAGAAAAAGATGCCTTCTATGGGTGGAGAAGGCAATGGCAACCCACTCCAGTACTCTTGCCTGGAAAATCCCATGGATGGAGGAGCCTGGTAGGCTGCAGTCCATGGGGTTGCAAAGAGTCGGACACAACTGAGCGACTTCACTTTCACTTTTCATTTTCATGCAATGGAGAAGGAAATGGCAACCCACTCCAGTGTTCTTGACTGGAGAATCCGAGGGACGGTGGAGCCTGGTGGGCTGCCATCTATGGGGTTGCACAGAGTCGGACACGGACTGAAGTGACTTAGTAGCAGCAGCAGCAGCAGCAGCAGCCTTCTATGGGAGAGAGAATGACCTGGCAAATCGTGTGGACCTCTGGGGATATAAGCTGCAGGTGAGCAGTATGTGGTCTTGAGTAAGCGCATGTAGACTACTCATTAATTACTTATTTAATTTAATCATTCAACTTATTCAGTAAGCATCTGAGCATCTAATCTGATGCAGGTATAAATTTTCTTGGCAGGGGATAAAGAAGAGTCTACTTGTCTCTATATCATTAAAAACATTAATATGGTTCTATGTAAAAGAAGAAATATAAAACAGAATATTTTGCAGAATGGAAGGCCAGAGGATGAACACCTCAATCAACTCCCTTGCTGACTGCTTCTTTAGAAGCCTCAGAGACCAGTAACAAGAGGAGATGCTTCAGCTCACCTCATCTTCATGCCTCTGTTCATTGCCTTCTGCTGTATTTGAAGATTCATTCTGAAGCAGCTGACCTTGGGAGAGATCCTCTACAAATTCTGGATTATTGGTGGATGATGTGGTTCCACTACTATATGGAGCCTCTGGGTGGGTTAACCTGCAGAATGATTGGCAGAGTGGAGAAGTTTAGTATCAGCAGCATCAAAACCTCCTACTTATCAAGGTTCAAGACACATTTCACTGTCAGGAAAATCACATGCCAGCCCTTGAATTAATTCCCCACCTCATTCTGTATAAATGTAAATAAACCATATCTCCATAGCAATTATAGAACACTTTTAAAAAGGTTTCAGTGTTTGATTAGACTAGCTCAGTTCCAAGAAGAAGTCTCCTACTAAAAACAACTATAATCTTTCTCCTGCAAATTACCTCTCTCCTCAATGGAGACTTTACATTTTAGCTTTGAGCATGCAGATGACTTTTATGTGATACTTTTCATGTACCTCCAATGTGATAAAAGGAAAATACTATTAATGGAAAAGATTAGGAATGGGAGTTGTAGAGGCAGTTTGCCCCCCTATCACAAAAGAGAGAGTGAGAGTTCTTTAAGGGCACAAGAAATTTCTCTTACAGTACAGTCCACAGGCTATTCCTTCTGTAGGATTATAGTGTTTGTTGACAATGAGATCATCTAAGAACAATATTATCAAGTTCAGAAATTCAGGTATAAACATTAATAAGTCAGAGATACACACTTCTGTTCCTACCATTCTGTTCCAGATGAGTCAGCAAACCTCATCTTTCTGAAAAGTGGATTCAAGGTACAGATGACGGTTGGATCTCAGATGGAGTTACACCCTAACTAAACATTTAGATAAAGGAATGGAAATAAAGGTAACACCATGTGCTAGGGAGTTTGGGGTTTGGGGCAGGTAGTGGGGAAGGTGGAGGAAGATGTATAAGAGAGCAATATTCAGTCATTATTCTGGAAGAATGTATACTTTATAGGGCTACAGAAAATACTTACAATACAAGTAGTGAAACAGAGGTCTATAAAACGTGCCACAAAGGTACAGTAGAGGGGATGAGGACTTTTATATATATGGAGAGAATGTTAAGAAAGAGTTTACAGAGGAGGACTTAAAAGATGAATAGGCATTCATTAGGTAAACAATGGATTGTAAACATGTAAATGTTGACTATAGCCCACCAGGCTCCTCTGTCCAAGGAATCCTCCAGGCAAGAATACTGGAATGGGTAGCCATTTCCTTCTCCAGGGGATCTTCCTGACCCAGGAATCTAACCTGGGTCCCTGCATTGCAGGTGAATGCTTTACCATTTGAATTACCAGAAAAGCCCTAGATA